TATATATATATATATATATATATATATATATATATATATATATATATATATATATATATATATTTATACATATATATTTATATATGTATATATATATGTATATTTATACATATATATGTATATATGTATATGTATATATATATGTATATATATATGTATATATATATGTGCATATACATATATGTATATATGTATATGTGTATGTATATGTATATACACATATACATATATATATATATATAACTCAAAATTAAGAAAAAAATAAATCACTTATTTATTGGATTCAGCTACATTTCCCTTGAGCTCACTGAGGAAGTTTTACAACAAGACAAAAGTCAAGGAGAGATGAACAAGACAATTTAATTGAGACAGGCTAGGGTTATGCTTTGGTTATAGGGCATTGGAGTTTACAGCTCCTGAAACAAGGAGTGGTCCATATATTGGGATGTGTGGAGGAAGAACACAACACATCTTGGTTGGCTGTCCTTGCTCTGTTTTAGTGAGATTATTATGTGTGGCACAGTTTCAAATGTGTTGATGGTGTTGACACTGAGGTCAGATGTTTCATTGGAACAGCATGTGAAGGAAGACAGTGAGGAGAAGACAATTTGATGATGTGCATGGGTGCTTCAGGATGATTAGTCTGCAGCCTGAGAGAGATGCATTCATTACCACCCTCAGTAGCCATGAGCAGGCCACTGCAAAAGGGATGAGCAAATGACAGGCTCAGGGTGGGGATCAAAGCAGGCAGCCAATCAAAAGCAAAAGCTGTCACATCTGGCATTCCTTTTCCTGCTTTCTTCATGCAAACAAATTAAGTGCAGATGTTTTATTTGCGCATTAATTATTTAGGGTAACCTAAAAACTGAACTCGAGACAAATAACAGCAATGGAGTGCCTCTCGAGACAAAGAACAAATTACAAAGCAGAAAGAAATGATTATTCCAAAGTTAAATACTGAACTCGATTTCGACTAGCTGGACAACCGCAGCATGCAAAACAATAAAGCTTGCTGAGATTCACAATAATGCAGCATGTTTACATGAAAATAAATAACTCGGTCTATGTGCCAAAAGGATCAAGAACAGCAGTTAAAAATATTGACGGAGCATCTAATTGTGGTTCCAACTGAGACAGATTATGATGAAAGAAATCACCAAGCAAAGCTTCAACCTCCTAATAGCATAAAAGGCTTCGAGCGAGGGCACTAGAAAGAAAGTCAAGGCATGCAAATTCATCTATTCCTCCCTTGATGTAGGGTCCATTCCGGTGGAAGGGTTGTCGGCGAAGTATTCTTGGTGTTTCAAGTTCACTCCATACTGTTCAGTGATAACAAACTGGCATTAGCTTTGAGAAATTAAAAAAAAAATGCTTCTTGATATGTAGCTGACATTCAGACATCAATATCTGAAGACATGCTTGAAATATGCATATACATATAGAGAGGGATCCATGTAATTATAACAAATTCATTTTAGCATAAGCACTTCATCTCCATTATGGTGATTATATTCTGATAGAAGATCCAAGTGCACGTAACCCTAAAAGACAAGAACATAAAGGAGAATTATGCACTAAAATTAATAAATCTCTAATCAGCATTAATATTTAATTTAATTAATTGATGATGCATGATGCCACTTGATAGTTAAGCTGCATGATTAATCGAGTGAGAAACTAATGAAGCAACAAAACATAATTCTTCACTTAATTTTGAAATTGATTTGTCATGAAAGAGAAATGTGGTTACTAAATTGTCTGAAAAGTTCAATTTTATCTTCTGTTTAAGTAAGCTGGTAAACATCAGTGTATTAAATTGATGACACACACAACTCATTCATGATCTATTTGACCACAGGAACACAAAGAATCACCAATGCATGTGGCCTACAGAAGAAGCTACTTTTCTGCCGTATGCAGATATCTACAGGTTCAAGCATCTGGATGATCCTCTAAATGCTCCTCCAAATTTTGTGCCATTTTTTCCCAAATATAATGCCCACATATATCAACATACCAAGTTATCAAAATATAGAGTACCAGACTACTACTTCTGGTCGTCTAGAAAAAGTTCAGAAACAGAGATGAAATATTTACTTACCTCTTGGAGGGATTTTGAAAGATCCTCCATTGCTAAGACAAGCCTCTTATCCTGCAGCATAAAAACTTAATCACCTAGAGTACAAGAGTAAACATCAGATTTTATTAATTAAGAAGGGATGTCGCAGGCCCAGCACCTTTGGCTGCTTGCTCTTATCCTTAACTGGCGCTGCTTGCCTGGCCTTGCAATGCCTAGTTAAGTATTGCAAAGAAAATGAAAGAGAAAGCATTAGTAACCATATTTTCAAAAAGACTTATCAAAGATCTTTTTAAAGGGAGCTGGAAGGTGAAAAGAAGCTTCACTTAGTGAGAGCTTGTTGCTGCCCTAACTGCATCTTGTATAATTGTCTTAACAGTTAGAGACAAACATATTCAGCATTTAATTCCTCAAATTGGAAAACCTATAGCTTTTCTTCTCATTTAGGAGATGAATATTACCTTAATGCATGGAACAGAAAGTGAAGAATAAAATAATCCTATTGAAAATATTACAATTCTAAGGATGGAATTTGTCCTTAATCCCTTAGACTGAGTAGGGAAAATAGAGAAGTATGCTGAGTATTCCGACAACAATAAATAAACTTGTTGAATAGCCATGTAGGAGAGATGGAATTTTGCCAAGACCCATAACCAATGAAACAAAGGTCAGGCAATATTCAGCAACTATAAAAAAAAACTCACTGATCAGATTGTATGGATCAACCAATAATGTCCTACCATCAAACTGGCATTTGCCTGCATGTACCATGTTTTAATACAAACAAAATGGTGAACGAAAATATGAGAACATTGACTGCCTGAATAAACCACTTCAAAGGAAATTATTTTTCTGCACTATGAAATGCAAGAATTTATTATTTTTCACAATTAAACATCAAAACATATATTGTTTACACAACCAGTAATCCACATTTAAACTACAAGCAGAAATAACATTTTAGATCATAATTAATCATTCATTCCATTAAAGTGGAAATGTCTCATATTCAACCAAATATCCATGATTACAAGATGCAATTAATAAAATAGAAATGAAAGAGAACAACCGAAAAACAAATGGAATGCATAAAAATAAAACATACTGAAGAGCATCATTTGCAACCTCCAACATAAACTTTTGCGTTGCGACAGATACCAGCCTGGTTCTGACAAAAAAACAGAAAGTACTAAAATATTAAGCACAAAGAAAAACAAGCAAAATTCCTCATTTTCAAAGATATTAAAAATAAAAACATGACACCTCAAAGTTTGCAACAGAATAGCACAACTGTCATATGATAGTTCTGACAACATTTTGCAGGACTTTTTGTGTTTTTCTTCATTAAGTGACAAAAGATTATATATTTTAATATATCATTGGCAATTTGCGCTCCAATATATGTTTTTCTTCTCCAACTCAGAAGCACTATATTTTGAGGATATTCTGAATATGTACTATCATCAAAGCAAATAATTACTAAGACAAGTCCCACTGATTTCTTCGGTAACAAAAGAATTACTCAACAGGTTTGTCAACAAACAACAAAGAGAAACGTGGGATCTTTCTTCTGATACTCTCTAGATAGAACACCTCTCCATGAGAAGTGTATTTTTATTTCTTTTTTCAAGAAAAATATCTGAAATAAAATTCCCAGCACATCTTCTGTTTCCCTAGGTGTAGAGTCTAGGAACAGTTCAATTTGATAAAAAAGGAGATTTCTCAAAAGTTGGGAGAAGCAGCACACTGCTGATCAATGTACACTTGCTCAAAGAAACGCTTTCCTCAGTCTCTATTTGTAGTTAGTCTTTAGAAGATGGAATCAACTAAGCATGCCTGAATTGATTACTGAAGTTGAATCTAAGTCGCATCAATAGTTTTCCAATGCCTTTCTAATCATTTTATATTCATTATTAGTATTTAACTGACAATGTAAAGCTTGTCCCACCTGCGTGAGCTATCACATACAGTAACAAATATGAGATGGTACATACCTATGTCTATCTAATAACTTAGCTAAGACTTGAGAGAGAACCATATTTATAGAAACTATCAAGATAAAATTGAGATATAACTTATCTAAGGCCTTAGAGAAATGAAGTTTGAGGTTGAACAAAGAGAGCCAGTGCCTCCTTTTCTAGTCTTCTGAGATATATGCAGAAGACTGGAGCTGAATCATTTCCTATTCACATCAAATTGGGTGTGCATCCTAAATATGATGATTTTCTATAGCCGGTTTCTCATTTTCCTTGCTTAAAATTTCCAATGTCAATCTCTCTGCACTTGCTGGATTATGCATCCTAGTCCTATAGTTAAGCTTGCATTCATGAAAACACAATGGGACAACAAAATAGGCTTGGTCTATTTCACTAAGCTCCAAATGCCGGTTATCCTGTTATTATTTTCCATAAATTCTTGTTTTCTCCTGCCAATCCTGTGCTTCATTGTATGCAGAGGTATGGATCCTATAGCTGATTGTCCTACAATCTAAAGTAAAACATATATAGAGTACCTCCAATTTTTCAATCCAAAGATTATCTTTTCCTCTGTCAATTCGAGTTGACAAAATAATTTTTCTCGTTGCCCTAATAAGCCTCATCCTACAGCATTTTCTTCAACCCAGTCTTCTAAATATCCAACCCCACATAGTTTACATAAATGTTTTAATTATTGTCATTCTTGTGAAAATTTTTCCTAAACCACTACTTGTTGGTAGTTGCAGGTACAGACTATTGTTGGTCTTTTTCCCTTTAGCGACCTGTAATTTCCTAGAAAAACATTTTTTTTACTTGAACAGGGAGTAACTTGGTAATCTAAAATCAAGATCAAAATTTGATCATCAATTTGTTCTCCGCAGGCAACAAACGCTGATAAGATGCATCATCGTCCTGTCCATTTGTGCTTTCTCTCCAAAAATTTTCATATGCTGGTTAATATTTTACAACCAACCACTATTTTATTTTATTGTTCCCAAGTTATCTATAAATTTTAAAAACCCATCGGCTGCTTCCAGCCAAACAGATATGGATATGAAAACCTATAAGAATCATGGCTACACAAGTTAAGTGAACCCTAGAAGCGCCTCTAACCTCAAAGTGAAATTTATGGCCATAGAGAAATGGAACACATACCAAAACACCCTTGTTCTCTTTCATTACACCAATAAATATCAACAAAGATCTTCATCATTTGGTCCTATGAAACGAGGCTTCCAGTTATGCTAACCCTAGTTTTCATGCCTTCTTTTGGTTAGACAGATCTTTCAAATCTGCTTTTAATTCCACTTCAAGAAGATCTTTTATCACCCATGCTCAATGACCTATGCTATACAAACACGTGTAATCGAAGCTATATACTCCCCACCATCCAGAGAACATAAGTTTGAGCACGTAAAGTAGCCGAATCACAGTTACAAGTCCTGATTCTGGCCCCTAGGATGACATCAACATGTTAGATGAAGAGACACCAAATAAACCCAAATTTATTCGGGAAATCAAGAACAAAGGAGAGGGTACCAACAGCCGCAAGTCAGGGCAGTGGAAGCCGCTCTTGCCAAGGTAATGCTCCACAAGCTCGTCCGGTATCTAATCCACCATACGAGACCAGGTAAGCCGGTTCCTTTAGGATGCATCAGGAATCGATTGACGGGGATCAGATTGTTTTACCGTGGGGGTGTAGTCCATGAGGGAGGAGAGGAACTCGGTGAGGCCGGAGTCGTCGTCATGTCTGCCCTCGCCCCCCATCGAAGACGACGACGAGGAGTTCATCGCCGCCCGCTGATAGCCGCCTTCTTCGCCTCCCCTCGCCGACGCTGGCCCGCAAACGACGCCAAGATATCGCTTTGCTCCGCCCTCGGTGACGCTTACGCCTCTTTGATCCCCGGACTCACATGCCCCATCCTTTATCGGGTCGTATGCGGGTTGGATCCGCCCCCGGACTAAACCCGCATCTATAATAATAATAATGATAATAATTAATGTTTACCGCAAATTAGTTCTCCTTATCAATCTCAATTCGATGGTGAGTTCATATCTTTGCGGTCCCCACAAATCGCTGCGCCAAAGGAAATGACCGCAGCGGTTCAAAAAAATTCAAGCCCATCGCCGCCCACTTCGGTGCCTCAGGCGACATGGTTACTATCCAACGAGAGGCACCGGTGAGCGGGCCCTCGCTGTTCCACGGTGGGCTCCACGAACGTCTCGAGTGAAAATTGTCTGTACCCTGCCGGGAATTCAACAGAGAAGCACGAGGCGCCCTGTTAGGGACCGACGACCATGAGACGACGCCTGGTTTTGACGTGTACAGGCGACAGGTTTGTTGACCGATGACGAAGCTCTCCATAGCGGAACCCATCGTTCCAAGGTGGGTCCGGGGATATTCGTGACTAAAGAAAGCTGAATCCTGTCGCGGGCAAGGGAACGGCGGGGCAAAAGCGTAAACGCGGACTGTGGTTGCCCGTTCCGTGTCATAACAGACACAGCTGAAAGGTGGGGGGAGGGGGAGCGGACGGGGGGAAAGAAACCCGCTGCCGAACGAAACCACTCCTTTCCGCCGCCGCCTCCTCCTTCCCCTTTACTTCCCCCCCTCTTTCTCTCGGCCGCCTCTCTCAACCGCCAACCGCTTCCGATGGCCGAGGATGCCGAGGTACGCTCCCAAGACCCAAATCATGAGCAAAAGAGCCCTTTGTTGTCTCGTCCAATCTTGCCTATGTTTTGCCTTTTGGATATTTGGTCGTCATTTGCTGATCTTGTTTGTGTGGTGTTTCGTGTTCTTCGTGGAGGAATCGTTCAGAGAATGGCGGCGCTGAAGCGGGCATTTGCGGATGTTATCTTGAACACGGCGAAGGAGTCGGCGGTTCGGATTCTGGCCTCGGAGCGGAGGGTGCTCCAGCTGCAGCAGAGTCTGTCGCTCGCCAGGGAAGAGTCACTGGACATGCTTCTCCGATTGAAGTCCATCATGGACTCCAAGGTGATGGCTCTATCTCCTATTTCACATTCTTCAACATCCGTTCAGTTCTCTTTATGGCAAAAGATCGCTTTTAGGGGGGATTTCTCTTCTCGATATCCAGTATGCACGTTGATATGCTTGCTTAGTCAAGATGAGCTCCTTAAGTTTGGTTGTTAGGCCCCAAATATCATGTTAGGGCATGCTGTTTGCTGGATTAATAGTTTCTGCCTAAGCTATAAATGCGGTTGCCATTGCCTCTACTTTCTAATGAAACGAAGTATTGCTTAGCCATGTCCAGTCATATCAGCTGTTTTATTTTCTCTAGTATTCTCTATCTTTATCACCAGATATATGTCTCGTTTTTTAGATTAGAAGATTTGACTCTCTCCATCCTGCTACATCATCAGATAAAATATATCCTAATGTTTAGGAAACTTTATAGGCCCATAATATGCTGCAAACATGAAAAATCTGCTAACTATAACATTCATGCTTAATTTTACAAAATGGTGATTCTACAATGCTTTGACAGCCACACATCAGTTTTGTGTAACATGGAGTAGTAACTATGTATTAAATTTTCTTCATGAAAGCAAATATATTCATGTTTTTTGGATCTGGAGATCAGATGTCATATTGCCACCATGAGATTCAAAGCAATCTCATTTCATTTTTTTTGTTCCTTCCAAGAGGAAGACATTATCAGGCAGTTGAAGTTACATAAGTTTTGGACATAGCTTTGGGGACCAAAATAACCAATTTATATTGTTTATTAATTTTTTCAGGAATATAATTCATACATTAATCATTTTGCCTATATAGTATATACTGTGCTACTTGTTTCTATCTTATAACTATTTTCATGAATATGTTCTTTGTTGCAACAGATACTCCCTAGAGGTTGGTTTTTGTATTTTTGTTGCACTTATGATGATATACAATAGTGGAACAACTTTAGAGGATATGGCACTTATTAACTTGCTTTGTGGAAGTTGATTTGGTTAAGGTCCTTAATACTTCTGCTGGTGGTACTTTTTTTTAAAGTTTAGTTTGTTGTAGAATGCTACATAGTAAATTGCTTTTGGCTTTGGTTAAGGTCCTTATTACCTTTTGGCTTATAATTTAGATGGGTTTTGAAGAAATTGCTTACAATGAATGTTGGTTTTACAGATTAATGAATCGGAAAAGTCCAATCTATCTCAGGTAAGGAAAATTCAAAAACTTGAAGTTCAACTCGGTGAAGCAAAGGGTACAATAAATTTTCTTAGATCTGAACTGAAGAGATTGAATTCTGAATTGGATCAAAGGATGGATATTCAAGCTGAGTTTCCCGATGGGAAAAGCACAGGTCACAATGCCACTTCTGAGAAATATAATTGTAAAGAAAACATACATAATTCTGACTCACACCTGTACTCTAAAAGAGGAGCCAAAAGTGTACCGAATTCTGACTGCTGCTTCACCAAAGGCGTGACACAAGATGAACCTTTGAATAATTTGATTGCAGTGGATAATTACGCTGGCAACCCTGACTTGGCATCAATAATACTGAGCAACAAAGAGCCAGAGCTTTATCGAAACGGATGCACCCAGAGGATTCGAGCTTTTGAGCGGAATCAAGTATCTGGGAAAGAGTTCTCTACACAAATCCATGACCAGGTCTCAGACATAAAGAGTGAAACAATGATGTGTGAGAATGGAAAACCTGAAAGGTCTCACACCAAAGATTTTGCTATGGTGAAGAAACCAGTGTGTCATAGGAAACGAAGAGTGCATTGTAAAAAGCATATTATGAAGTCCACAGAATGTGGTTATCATGACATGCGACATTGTAGATCCCTGGAGAGTAGTCATTCTAAGTTTTCTATGGCAACTGACCATATGTCAAACATAAAGAATGAAACAAACATGTGCGAGAATAAAAAAGCTGAAAGGCCCTGGGCCATAGATTTTGGTATGGCAGAAAAAATAGTAAGAAGAAAAATGCGGCGTCAAAAACGCATGAGGCCTGCTAAATGTATTACTTATCATGACATGCAACATTATGGACTGCTAGGTAGTAATCATTCCAAGGTTGGAGAAAATGACAAGGATAGATCTGCTGGTAATTCACAGAGGGCTAGCGGTGAAGCACCTCTAAAGACACTGGATTCTTGTTCACCTCAGATGTCTGGAGAAAATCAGGAAACAACAAAAGATCAAAAGACTAAGTTGAACAAATTTTCCAATCATAGAATCTCAGGGCTTTTAGATGGCAATAGAATAATGACAAGGAGATCTGTTCTGAAACTATGCAATACTTGTGAAGATCATACTGGTGGAAGCCATACTTCTGGTAGTGGAGCCACTTTTCAAGAAAATAGTCTAAAGGAATCTTTGGTACTAGGTACAAGTGAGGTGATTGATGATGCAGTTTCAGATGCTGTTAAAAATGGCACACTGCTACATGAGATAATGTTGTCAAAAGCAGATGATAAATTAGCAGAAGATTTGGGTACTTCTATAACAAAAGAGGGTCACGATGATTGTAAAGATGAACCTTTCAAGCCATGTGGACCTGCTGCTGAAGATCGAAGTGACAAAATCCTCAAATATACCTTTCAGAGGAAGCGGAAGAGGGTTTCTATAGATAGCAAAGTTGACTCTACATCTTTAGAGGGAAGCATGTCCAAGCAAACAGTGGAGAAAGATAATGCTGTGCTGGACCCTCAGAAATCTAGCTTACTAGTGGAATCATCCAGAGAGAGTAGGAGACTGGCACAGGTTGCTCGACAGGTTAGTGAAGTTACCTCCTCCCTGTTTCACAAATGCAGTGTCTACATGGATAACAGGAACCTTAGTGTTCAAAAGACTATGCAACTGGACTTATGACATCATTTATCTTTAAGTGACCATGTATTGACCTGTTAGAAAGTTCTTATTAGTTAGATCTGTTAGCATAATCATTTCTAACATGTCCATATAAATAAACAATGGGGAAAAGATTCAAGAGATAATGCAGTAGTTAGCTTCTCTAAATTACATCTAACATGATTAATAATTATTGGGAGGTACTTCATCACCGTGCCTATTGGTCCTTCAAGACTAAGGATATGAGGGCCTACATAGGTATTCTATTCTAATTGATTAATTTCAAAGAATTGATATTTGAGTTTGAAAGGAAAGACATGTGATGTGACTTTATCGAGCATAATTCTTGATTGCATTGTTGGTTTACTTTTCCTTTGCACCATTCATTGATGTCAAGGATAACTTCCTCAAATAATTGAAGTTCTGACATAGTCTGTACTAATCTTTTCTTTTCGCATCTAGTTACGTAGGTGAATGCATTATGACTAGAGGTGCCATGACAATTTCATGTACTGGTGTAAACAAAGCTGAAATGACCTGATAGGGGGATCATGTTCAGGTGAGTCAAACAAACATGATGTTTCTGTTAGACCAAGCTCGAAAAGTGCTTGATCCTCCAAAGTTCACACTCAGCTTCACCAAAATCATCAGGCCTAGTTCATCTATTTCGGAGATTGAAGAAATGGTTGATGTTTTATGGAGGTAGCTAGAACAGAATCCAAGGACACAAGGGTGAGAAGAGGTGCATGCATGGGCATTGAGATGGAAGATGAAGATGGTATGGCATGGTGGCTACAATGTGAAGAGAAGTGCGATTACAAGGCATGACAGAGAAGGCTAAAGAGAGAGAGAACTATGGCCAAGTACCAGAGAAGTCTTAGGGTTTCAAATCATATCTCATATTATATATACTACTATGTTATCTCAGTTTTTAGATAAAAATAAATGGCTAAAATTAGAGAGCTCGAGTTTTATACAACAACAATAGGATATGATGTCCCACCAAAAGACTCAAGCTATATTATGCAAGGTTTAAATCTTGAGCCAGTGTCGATACTAGTTGGTGGCTGGACTAGTATGGTACCAGTTTATCTCATCATAATGATTCTTGGTACAGGTTGGTATATCACAAGCCCAACAGAAGAGGAGGTAGAGGAGCAAGAGGAACATGAAAAGAAGATAAAGTAGAGGAAGACAAGGGGGGAGAGAGGCGTACCTTATGCTGGAGAGGAGGCAGCGACCCTTACAAGGAGGAGAAAGTGGTGGTGGTGGCAACCCTTACAAGGAGGAGAAAGTGGTGAGTGACGAGTTGGAGGCAGCAGTGGCAAATTGGTGGGGAGGAAGAGGCGGAGGGGAGAGAGATATGATGCATGAGAGAAAGAAAGAGACTGTGCAACGAGAAAAAGAAAGGGAAAAGAAATGAAAAAGAAAAGACAGCTGTCAAGCTATCGAAAGAAAAAAAGAAAAAGGAAACCTAATGGTAGGCTTACAATTTGGTACACCCTGTTTCGATTGAAAAAAGAGGATGTTACATCTGAGACGCTGATTATATCAAGCTGTAAGCCTGGTATGGAATGGTACCAGACAAAAATTTGTGGTCCACGTACCAATTCACTGTTAGAATGTTAAATACTGGTCTGTACCTACCAGTACACTTGATTTTTAACACCATGATGTTATGTAACATCTATAGTAAGCATAGGTGGACTTGCAAGATCTTAAAGAAGGTGAGTTTTTCTTAACAAGCTGTACGCAAGAGTTAGCAAACAACACTATTTCAGCGTAAGCTCATGTCTTGCAAACAAGCCAAATGACGAGCCAACCATGTTCAGTTAGTAAACATTGCATTAGGCTTACTGCCCTTCAACCATGTTTCTGTCTGTCATGGCTAAGTGTTACATTGGCCTTTCACCTAAAATTTTGCATTTCTACAGGCTTTACAGTGATACTAGTGAAGAATTAAATCTAGGCATAGGGAACTCTATATTATATTATGCCACTAATGATGAATCAAATTTCAATTGGATTCTGTAGGTATTTAAATAAATTTATACAGACATATATATAGATAAATGTCATCTTTTACTCATTAATTTCTACCCACAGATTGGAATGATAGAGAACAAAATTGACTTTGAGATTTGATGTTCCTTGAGAATATATGCAGGCACCTTAAGTATGCCTTTCCATGGGATTATTTATGATTATCCAAAATAATTTAGCCTAGTTTTTGCGACTAGAAACTAGAAACTTGATTGTCGCATTTTAAATTCACTTAATTAGAACCAGCCGAATAGAAAACTTGTGGCTTGTGCCTTAATTAAACTATTCTGTTAAGATTGTGCAATACTTTATGCATAGTCCTTAGCACTCAATACCTTTGCTTAAAATAGGCTGGCTTTTGTGGAAAGGCATCATAACTATTGAAGATTCTCTCCAAATAGTTTGATGCTTTGATCTTTTACCAATGTTTTTCTTTTCCAAGTTCATAGTAACCTGTATATGCACCCATCAACTAAAAGCATATTTTTTTAGCTACTATGATGGACTTCCTCTAGTATGGCCCTCAGTGTTGTTAAATTAAATAACTTAACTCCATTCTGGTCAAAGTTTCTTGTATGCATGTGTCTTGAATGAACAAATGCATCTCTGTTTGAGCAAAACCTCCCACTTCATGTCTTTTTCATAAATTGATCATTTCCATGAAATCTAGTCAAATCAATTATTTACTATGAGAAGAAACTTGTACCCTTAAAATATTTAACCATGCAAGTATCTAACTTTTTTCAGTATTGCAAGAAAAGAGTTGGCAACAACCAAGTAGGATATTTTTGTGATTAGGACACTTGGCACACTAAACACTTGTTTTAGAATAAATCCCAATCGTAAGATAAGAGGCAGGATTTATGAACATATGATAAGGGAAAAAAAGAGGAACAAATGAACTGTCAAAGGCAATAACTACTAGAGGAATGTGTCTTGGTTATTAGTGGACATTTTTTAAATATCCTTTTATCTATCACCATAACTGGTTAGGGTTGTTTTTTAGGCTACATGAATCTCATTAAGCTTTGTGTAGGAAAGCATCCCTAGTTAAATTAAGAGAGATCAAATATCTTATTATTCTTGCCACTAAAGTTCTCTTAGGTTTCTCTTTCTGCTCTCATTAATTTTAACTCACCTTATTTAATCTTTGTATTTCTATCTCTTTTTGAGCATCTTCATATCATTTCAATTGAGTTTCTATCGCTTTATTTATTTAAGGCTATCTCTGTCTCAAGAATTCCATTTTGCACTGTGTCAGTCAAATCGGTGTTTGTCGATTGGACCAAGGATCAATATTGGACCATATAGATTAGTCCCGTTCAATATTTCTTATTTCATTATTTTGTTCAATGGATATCAAATAGTATGAGTCTGTACACCACCCAATAATATCAATATCATATTAGTTCGACCAGTTACTGAAACTGGTATCAGACTGCAATTTGAATCCTTGACCTAAACTGTTTGTGAATTAGTAATTATGCACATTTACCTTGGTTTCTTCTCTGCTATGTAAACTTTTTTGTCTGAGAAAAGAGGAAAAAGCAGTATAGGTGCTCCAGAGTAAGTAGATGGATCTAGGTCTTCATAATTGGTAGCATCCTAGGTCCTAACAGATATCAAGGTTGATCAAATTAATGTTCTAAATATTGGGCATTTCACCCATTATTTTTTGGTCTGATAGGGGATTGACACGTGTCTGATTCAATTTAAAATAGGGAAAATTCTTTTACTTCTTAAATTATGGATGGCTAAAAGCAATAGTTGACAGGTTTCAACAACTTCCCTGCTCCTTTCTTTTTCCTCTGCCTTCCACATCACAACTTCAACATTCACCTTGTTCTGTCACTATGTTGTCTCTTCCTCATCTTCCTCCATTTCTTCCTCTGTCTCATCTTTTCCTCCAGTCATACAATGATCTGTACTGGTCTGCCTGTTGATCAATATCAGCACTGCACTGAGATTTCAAATCTTGAATAAAATATTTACTGCTTTGTTATTTCTTTTCTCATTACTAATGAAACAAGGGAAAACACATGAATCTAAAGGTCCATGCTCATCCTATACTTCAAAACAATTTCTAATTCTTGTTATATTCCTGTAACAACAGAAGTATAACTTCAATACTAGTGACATTTATAGGTCCAGCATTTCCACATGGGTGGCTCTTTTGAGAGGCTCTGCTGGATTGCAAATTATATCTAAAATTCTCAGGAGCTTAATTTTCTACTCTTTTATTTTCAGCTCATTTCCTTGTCTGAGAGGAGATGGTGATGGATCTACTGCTTTATCGCATGCAAAGTGCATTTCTGGAGTCCAGAAGGAAGTTTTACACTTCAGTATTTTCAGGACTGCTTCATTGCTGCTCAGGTTCCAACTTGTTCCACATTTGAACACATCAAAGCATGCATCTCTGTTCCACCATGTTGGCAGCTGTAATGTAAACATAGAAAAGGGCTGCAGCAAAATAGAAGAATTATAAGAAAACTAGACAGTGCTACAGTTAATGATATATTCCATGATAATCTCAGCAGAGTTCAGTCCTTGTTTTTTCCTCTTTTTAGTTATTTATGATGTACCATCTTCCATTTTGAGATATATATTATTCTCATCCAGGCTTTCCTAGTCCCCACTGTCCGACACATATTGTATCGGTTGGTTAAAGATCAACTTGAAGATGATTCTTTGGTGGCTATACCATTATGAACATTTACACAAATTGCAATTCTGCAAAATTCCAGCTTTTTATGCTATCTTCCATGCTGTTGAATTGCATATTTGCATCTCTGTAGATTGAAAATAAGTGTTGCTTTACAACAGTTTTTTATAAATTAATTCTAGAAAAGGAGACATGATTTCTAAATGCAGATAGGACAGCTCATGAAAGAACTTCACAACTAGCTTCCTGTCATTCATGTGACAAGGTTACAATGCAACTGTTTTCTTGATAGTAGAGTTGTTTTCCAGTTTAATATGATTCAAACTTTCCTGCTCCCCTTTTTTCATGCTGCAATAAATTCTTGATAGCGGAGAGTTGAGCTTATGTTTTCTTGATGGAGTTCCAGTTGAAGCTGTCCTTGTTAAGTGTTCCATGTAAGTAGATTCACTCTCCCTTCTTTAGTTTATTGCTATCAGTACAATATAAACAGTTGTAGTGTTTTAGTTTTAGAACACAACACATATGTTTTCCTCACACAAAAAATGCCATTTTTATTGCAGAAAATGTCATTTACATAAAATGAAACAGTTGCTATGAATGCCTTTGAAGTGGACAAGAAAGAATTGTAAATGCTGCATGCTTAATTCACTGTGACAAGTTGTTTCATTTTCACTTCAAAGCATGGAGAGATGTTTTTGTTTATAAGAACAAAAATTCCTAATTAGTTTGGCAACTTCCATTTCCTGTTTTCTTTTACTATCTTAGGAAATTCTAAATAAATTCCATATCTGTTCCTAAAATATATATTTGAAGCATCTAAACATCATCTTTTTGCAGGTCATCCAACCATCTAAAATTATACCTACCACAAACATGCTATAATACAAAACAAAATAAATAGAAGAAACAGTACAGTGTACTCCTCGCCACTACTGCCCCTACAAGTGTCAATGCACCCATAGCCCGCTCTACCCGATCCGAACCTGACCCGGTAACACGAGTGATGACCCCCGCTTCTTGATCCGTTAAGCCATTCGATCGGATCTGAGACATTGATCCATACTCCATTAACCCTACTGTTTGTTATCGGATTCGGGTTTAGATTCCAGGAACATCACGCTCAGAATCCGACCCATTTCCATCCTACTTATCTCTTATTCAAAAGGAAATCGATACTTACCTTTAAACGTACGCCAAGACCCTTTTGTCAGGTCCTTCGTGGGCTCCATTTGAGCTTCCAGTCTTCGCACGGGTAGCCGACGGAGTCGGTCGAACTTGTTGGACTGACCATGCGGCAGTAGTAATATCCTAATCCTTACAGGGGTGATTTTGTAAATTTGGTCACGTCTGGACCTCAATTAAGCTGTCGTAACGAAAGAATGCGATTTGCATTGTTGTTATCCGGTTTGCTTCGTTCTGCGTTCCTTCGTCCTCTCCTCATCCACACTCTTTGTTTCCGTCTTCTATCCCCGAGAGAGAGAGAGGAGCTTCTTGTGGGTGAAAGATGGATTCAGATGACGGCTCCCACGCCGCTATGTCGCGCGACATCGGCAGGAGAAAGAGGGTACTGGGTATTCTTCCTCCTCATCGATTCGTGCGATTCGATGCCAATTGCATGCCTCATCCGTTTGTTCTGCTGATCAGACCAACAGGTCCGCGAAATTGAAGCAGTGCAAGCTCGATGCGAGGCGCGAGCAGTGGCTGTCGCAAGGTGCCCGTCCGATTCGTTTGCCGCTAGGGATTCGGTAGCGGGTTTTGGGGGGAACGAGTGGATTGAGTTTAGTTCCTTCGGAGATCGAAGGATCTCTCTTTTGGGGTTTTATTTTTTGGTCTTTTGGTGTCAAAATTTGATTTTGTTGTAGCTTTCCTGTTGATCTGCAGTGAAGAGCAAGGATTGCGTGGTGCGGAGCAGGGCACCTTCTGATTCTCCTCCTCTCCCTCATCCGACGCTCTCGAAGGAGTTAGGTCGCAGGCCGAAGGAAGAGGAGGAGGAGGAGGAGCATCGGGATGAGGTGGGGCTTGATGGATCGAGCTTTCACGGCAGCGAGGAAGGTTCTCCGACTCACCGCAGCCCTCTTCCCGGATGCCCTAACAATAGTATTAGTAGCGGGAGCAGCTTTGGCTCCTCCTCGAGAAGCATCAGCGATGCCGAAGTGGAGGAAGATGATTCCGAGGAGAGAGGAGAAGATAAAGGGGAAGTGGAGGATTGGGAGGCCTTTGCTGATGCGCTGTCTGCCGATGAACCCAATCCGAACCCCGTAGCAACCATCCCGGAATCTACCGCAGCACCCGGCAACACGATCAAGGATCGCGGTGAGGGCTTGGAAAAGCCGGATGCTAAGCAGGCGGTGCACAGGGCTTGGAGGCCAGATGATGCTTTCCGTCCACGGAGCCTGCCCAACCTCTTGAAGCAGCGGAGTTTCCCTGCCAGCATGGAGCGGCACTACGCCGCAGCTGGGTGGGCTCAGCATGGCATCCTCTCCACACCATCTTCATGCCCCATCTGCTACGAGGACCTTGATCCGACTGACTCGAGCTTCCTCCCCTGTAACTGTGGCTTCCGCCTCTGCCTGTTCTGCCACAAGCGGATTCTTGAGGTAGACGGGCGGTGCCCCGGGTGCAGGAAGCATTATGCTCCTGCGGTGGGTGGTGAGGTGGGCACCGTGAGAGGAATGCCACCCTCGACTCTCCGCCTCTCTCGTTCTTGTAGCATGAGTTCAAGAACTTAGGGTGAGAGTTTACAGTACTTCTTCCGTTCTCTCTAGTGAGTATTCTCATTTAAGGAGCTATGGGTCTATTGTGTTTTCATTGTTATAGAGCATATGTTGAAGTTTCTCATAAGGAAAGCCATGTGAATATGGGCATAGGGTTTGGGCTTATAAGAACTGATTTTGTCAGCTTAGTGCAGTTAACATGCTCTGCTTCATTCACATGGATGTGTCTATGTGTGTGGACAGATAGATTTTATCATGTATAAAAACTGTTACAATCTGCTAATCATTGTAGGTTGAAGTTTGAACATTCTCTTATAATTGCTTTTGATTTTATACAGGGAAGATCATTTCGATATTTGTTTTATTGAGTTCTATTTTGTAGATTAGTTTCTACTAATATATATGTGGAACACATCCGTCACACTGCATCATTGCATTTTTTTTTCTAAATGATGCTAGGAACTTATTGGTTGTGTTCCTACATTGGTACTGTGAATGATTTTTCTAGTGGTCTTCCTCTCTCCTAATGCTTTTGTACATGCAGCGTAGCCGCATGTTTCTGTTATAGTGTACATTGCATTCCGAAAGGTGAAGAAAAGTGGAGTCGGAGGCGCATTCAGGCTGTGAACGAATCTGTCGAGCTGTTTCCGGTATTTCATCTCTTACATGCATTTGGCTTCGGAGATGGTGAGCTAGCTTAATTCTATTTATTGAGCCAAGTTTATGTCTAATTAATTTCCATTTAGTTCTGCTTTCCAAAAACACAAAAAATACATATTTCTAGACATCTTCAGAATTTTATTGAAAATGTGAGACTGGTAAGATTCATATGATAGGTATAGTGTCTTAATAGGAATCAACCATAGAGGAAATGTATTCCACCAAAAAATTCTCATTTGATTGGCCTACATTCTTGACAGAGTGCTACAATTTCAGTTCTTTAGACATGTCAATGGTTGATTCATACAAGGGATCTCATATTAAATGGGAGCATTCTTCTTTGAAAGAATTGGCTGTACTAATGAGTTTTATTTTCATTTTTTAAGATAAGGTTTCAGTTTGGCAACAGTTGTCGTCGTCCTGCCTTACTACTCCATATCCTTCTACATTCCTTCTTTCCTGTTCTCTTTATACTGTTCTGTGAGAATCCATGCAGCAGCTGATTCCTTATTGATTTTGATTTCAACAGGGAGTTGTCTTCAGTTTCAATGGTTGATTCATACAAGGGATCTCAAATTAAATGGGAGTATTCTTCTTTGAAAGAATTGGTTATACTAGTGAGTTTTATTTTCATTTTTTAAGAAAGGTTTCAGTTTGGCAACAGTTGTCGTCGTCCTACCTTCCTACTCCATATCCTTCTTTCCTGTTCTCTTTATACTGTGTGAGAATCCATGCAGCAGCTGATTCCTTATTGATTTTGATTTCAACAGGGAGTTGTCTTCCTGTCTTCTTCCTCCAGATTCTTCTACATTTCTTCCACCCTGTTCTCTTTGTTTTGTTCTTTGAGAATCATGGAGCAGTTGATTCCTTATTGTTCCAACAGGGTTGAGTTGTCTTCCTCTGTATTCTTCTTTCTTCTTCTCTATATGCCGAGGTATGGGGAATCCATGAAGTAGCTGTTGATTCCTTATGGATTCCAGTCAGTTCTCTACTGTTTAGAATTGAGCTCATGTTTAGGTTCAGCATATTGAGGAAAGAGTTAAGTGATGAATGTTTAGCAATTGCTCAAGGGTAAGCTTTGTAGTCAAATTGACAATAAACCATGCATCTTTCTTGACACCAATTCTAGTGTTATTGTGTGCTATAGTACATCTGTCATATATGCACGAGGAAACCCTAAATTGTTCTTTATTCACATATTGTCACATTTCCATCATGGGAGAGTGGAAGAATCAAGATCTCCAGGATGAGATTAATCAAACATTGAAGAATCAGTTGATGCAGTTTAGATCATGTAAGGGTCAGATCTACTCAGCATACACAATTAATTCTCAGCTTTAGGGTTTAGGGGACATGTTAGGAAGGGGAGTTTGTCTGGTACAATGAACATAGTTTAATCTTTATCAAAAAGCTTATCATCTTCCTCTTTCATTATTTTCTTCCCTCTCTGTTCATTGACTTCATTCTATCCTTTTATCTGTCAAACAAAACCCTATCCAGCATTAGATGTGCATCCTAATTCTTCCATCCCTGCTCTGTGATTGTGCCCAACCCTACTGCTGTATCATTGGACAGCATTGTTGTTATCACATTTTCTACCCTAGCATGCCACCCTCCGTTGGTTTTGTATCTTCATCAATGTTACCTTTTCTATCCAGTGGAATGAAGGTTCTTTAGTGCAGCTTGATAAATATGTTGGAGCTTATCCTATGCATGTGTATCTTTAGAAGTCTGGAAGCTTATATGAAAAATTCTATTGGACATGTAGAAGCTGTATCTTATCATATGAAGTTAACTTTTTCTATTATGGCTCCTGATGTAAAAAACAATCTAAAAATGCACTGTGCATTGTAAGTTGGATATATCTGAATTGATGCCTTAGCAAAGTCCATAAAGCCTCAAAATAACAAATTCAGAAGAACATAAAATAAAATCTGAACTCTTGATGACTTGAGCAATTTTAAGGCATCCATTATTACTGCAATCTTGGCTTCCCAACATTTGGATGTTAGGATACTAATTTAAGCTTCAAATTGAAGCTTTGAATTTACAAGAAGCTACTGAATATTATAAATCAATGACACACACTGTCTTTGAGAACACAGTGCGATCTCAAACAAACACGACCCAATATCCATGGTTTCGAACAAGGGTTTTATTATCACTTTGAGCTGATCCTCCTGAAATGCTTCACTCTGTTTCCGGCCTAGTAAAGAAATTGTTGATTGCTGGCATGATCTCTGGGTTTTTGTTCCGGACAAATTTACGGAGACTATGCTCTGCATATTTCTCTCCCTCCGCATGGTTATCCAGCACTCCCGCAGCCCTGCCTTCCTTGCTAACTCTGGAAATCACAAAAAAAACACTTCACTGTTGACGCCATAACGTCCACAAACAGAATGCACTAGTAGAAGCCCGAGAAAAGACGAGGTTATTTTCACCAATTAGAATGCTCATCAACTGGTTAAGTAATTAGTAACAATATCAACTGATGAATGTATGGGTCTTATTGTGCTTCACCCTAGTTTTTCTTTGCACTTGTGCATGTCATGATGATTTAGAGAGGTGATTGAAGTAAACATGAGAAAGCAAGCCAGGAAACTTGACAATGTAGCATATGGTTTACAAGCAAAATGCACATAAGAAGCCCATAAGAGACTAGGCATGATGATTTAGAGACGTGATTGAAGTAGACATGAGAAAGCAAGCCAGGAAACTTGACAAGGTAGCATATGGTTTACAAGCAAAATGCACATAAGAAGCCCATAAGAGACTAGGCATGATGATTTAGAGACATGATTGAAGTAAACATGAGAAAGCAAGCCAGGAAACTTAACAAGGTAGCATATGGTTTACAAGCAAAATGCACATAAGAAGCCCATAAGAGAATAGGCACATCACAACTAGAACATTTGACCATTGGTCAACGACTTTAGATAATTCCTCATATATGCAGATCAATCAAGTTTAAAAAAAAATCAGGATCTTCTTATGGTTCACTCTAGTTTTTTCTTGCACTTTTGCATGTAATGATAACTTAGAAGGGTGACTGCAAGGAAGTAACATAGGAAGCATGCAACGAAATTTCGTAAGGTAGCCTTATAGCATTACAACAAAATGCATATCAGAATCCCAAACGAGATCAGTCGTGCCAGCTAAAAATTTCATAGTACTCAATAGAATACTTCACATTAGGTTATCGAATAAAATCTCAAAGAATGGATCTCATCATATATGCATATGAAATTGAGAGTTCTAGGCAGAATAGAAATCCTAATCTAAAAGGATTTAG